TATATTTGTATGTTTTGATGGCTAAGAGAGAATGTTATTAAAGCAGGTTCATATTGCTATAAATCATTGTTATGTTTGAGTTCGCACTCACACTGCTTTAAAATCTCACGTGACTCCGTAGCGACCAATGACCAATGACGAAACAGAATACCTAAATTAAACGAGGCTTACCTGTAAGGTGAAGTTTGATTGGGATTCTGTGAGTCATTGGTCGGGAGCGAAGGAGTCATGTGCCCACCCATGTGTTATTAACCCACCCATGACTGGGTGTAAGTGCTCACATCTGTTAAAGACTGATCTTCCCAGGCTCGTGAACCCTCTCACATGACTCCTTCGCTCCCGACCAATGACTCACAGAATCCCAATCAAACTTCACCTTACAGGTAAGCCTCGTTTAATTTAGGTATTAGAACATAGCTAGCAGGGCCGCGCAGTCAAATTCAGTATACGTAAGCGTGCTCAAAATCCCGAAAGTGCACGCTGACATCGTCAGCAAATCGCTTCGTCAGAATTTTTTTTTTTTTTTTTTCGCGCGAGCGGCCATTGTTAGCGCGGGGAAAAATAATATATTTCGCGACAATAATGGATACAGACAGCCACTCCGCCTACTAGTCCCAAAACGAAGACAGTTTTTCGACCGTTTTCCTTGGGTTAGAGTTCTTAAAATGAGGCAGGAAAAGAGAAAAACAATGAAATAGGAGACTCGGCATCAGCGGCGTCACGATTCGCTTCAATTGATATTGTTGTCTGTTTTTCGTGCTATGTTCTAAAACAATTGGTTCATGCTTTCAGATGTGCACTATCGAGTTATGGAGCACGTCGGAAGTTTGGAGAGCACGAAAGAAGCTAGAGTTGCCCTCGGCTATTGCCTCGGGCAACTCTTACGCTTCTTTCGTGCTCTCCAAACTTCCCGCGAACCAATTGTTAAATAGTGTTCATGCAACAAATCCTACTAAATTTATAAGAGTAAGATATCAGTGAAACGATCCCCACGGAAGGTTTGCATTTGAACGAATTCCCTTGATAAGAAGATTGAAAAAATTCAAGATTACATGGATCTACATGGGGTTGACCATATGTCATATAATCTAGGCTTTTAAAGCACACATGACTTGCAGAGAGAAACGAGATCGAAGAATCGAAAGTTTGGTTTTGGCAACTGCGTTGACAATAAAAATCGGCCATCAAGTTAGTTGATAAAACCAAATTCAACTGCCGAACAATCGACGGCTGCAGTTTGTTGGGTACTTATCACGCAGCTGACAATTAAAATTATACTGAAATTTGTGTGGAGTAAAAGCTAGCTAAATATATCTTGATTGTGAAGATTACCTCTATCAAAACTGTCAGGATTATCAGACAAACGAACGCGCTCTTCATAGTGTTGGTTTAACTTCAAACTTATGGGAAGTTCTACCACGGACCAACACAGGTATGTTGCCAATTACGAGGAAGCACGTACAAGTAGATGGATACTGACTTCCGCGTTTTCCTGGGACCTCAAATGTTGGTTTATCTGTTGACCGAATCTTTCCGACGCTATCCGAGTTTAATAACTCTCGGAACATTCCGAAACACTAGATACTGATGACATGGTGGCCGAGAACTGCTATTAAAAATATTCAAATTTATAGGAATTATTTTTGTTATTTTTTTTTTAATTTCGATTTATTTCTCATTTTTATTTTTAAAATAAAAGCAAGTGAAAGTAAAATGTAAAATAGAAATAAAATGAAACCAAAGATAAATGAAATCAAATCAAAATTAAATACTACCCGGCCGAGCGCTGCCACTAGTTTTTATTTATTTTTTTTTTTTTTCTCGCGGTCGGAAAGAAAAAATTTGTTCGTGGCCGAACGCTGCCACATGGCCGAGGGCTGCCAAACAAACCCAGAAT